TAAAGAACCCGTAATATAAAAGGCTGCTAAGCCTGGAGTTCCAGAGGTGAAGACAGGCTCGCTAGCTATTTAGAAATAGCCACACCCTATGCAGAATCACGAAGCTATTTTAAATAGAGGCGGGTGCTAAAGCACGGAAACCGGCCCTAAAGATTGTTTAGCGGGAAGATCCACGGCCCTCAGAACGCATTACTAGCACTCGATATTGTGATGCAGAAGGCAGTCGCCATGATGGAACGGCGGTGCGAACATGAAGAGGTTTCTACTGGCAAGATTGTAGTGTTCCGTTGCGGAAGGACCTTACGGTACTTTTCCCCAACGAGATCGCTTAATTAGAAGGTACAGCGCAGGAATTTGAAACATGCGCCGCTTATGTTTTCTGCGTTTTTCTTAACCAGCTACGCTCACGATGTACATATAATAAGATCTCACGTACAAAAAGTTTAGGGCAACTGTAGAATGCAGGTTCGATCTAGGATGACAACTACAAACGTCATGGGGATCCGGACGACTAGGGGATTGTCTAATCTCTCAGCATAGCATATAAAATCTTGATTTCTACCGGTTATTTTACTCTCCTCTCCTAGCCTTTCCTTTGCCATCTCCGCTGTTTTAACCATTACTTCGCTCATACCATGGTTCTCTTTCTTCGTCAAATTCAGCCATAATGATAGTTAAACCCTTTGCCACGAAGGAATAAGCGTGGCGTGGTCCAGAGTAGAGATTATTTTAAGTGCCTCGATCGCTATATGTCTAACAAATGCCGAGATTTGCCCCTGTCGCTTGACCGCATGCTCTCGCCTCGCGACTTTATGCTTTGCTTTAGCCCCCGGGTAATTCTTTATAGGTGTTGATATAGCTTTTACAACAGAATCGCCGCTCTCAGGCGGCGCTTAAAGTGGTTGCATCCGAGTTTATCGGTGACAGGCTCGCGTATTTGCTGCGACCTCGCGTGGGCTGGCACGTTTTGGTTCTCCTGTGTCTGCTGTGATGGTCTCTGCCAGTATACTATAGTGAAGAGCTTTATAAACCAGAAAGCAGCAGCTGGTCTTAATTCGCTGACTTGATTTAAAATAAAACCCCTTTTCTTTTGCGTAAGAAGATAACAATTTGACTGTGAATTATATTGCCTGTTCTAGACCGATCGCTGCCGCGTGATGCGCTTATACCGTTTTGATGTGTAGCGTAAGCGTAAGCGACTTAAAAATGTAAAGACGGCTTCTCGGCGCGTTTTTCTATAGTCTCTCCCTGGTTGATCTATTCCCGCTTGCGCAGCTGCTCCATTATAGTGACTGCCTGCTGTATTCTGATAGCCTGTGCCGGCGATGCCTCTTAAGGGTCGTGGGTCTTCTACTGGACGATCCTCGGGGCTGGCATCTATGCTTAATTAAGCCCTACCCTTCGTGAAAACAGCTCGTGGCCCTGTATAGGCCGTAGCGGCTACCAGACTGCCGGTGAGCCGGGGCTTCACTTCATTTATCGTAGTTTCTCCACAGGCACGAGCCCTAACACCGTTCGACAGGCGAGTTACACCTTTTCCGTCGGTGCATCGCCCGCCCCACATTAGATATCCCGCCCTGCCATCTCTAGGTAGGCTTCTAAGGTCATATTCCGCGGACAGGTGTGAGCTAAACAGGCCAAACTAGTGTCACACTTTTAATTAACTAATAATAATCGTGGCAGCTTTTAAGGCTACGCAGTGGCGCCGGTAGAACCTTACCGGATAACCTTAGCGGAAAACCTTACCGGATTACCCTAACTATTTGCAGCGGGAAACAGGCTATTAAGTCCGGTTATTACTTTTACATATGCACTAACTATTACTCTCTAGAGTAAAGCTAGTCTTTTAGCGACGGCTGACTGCAGTTTTTAGCTAGACCTAGCTCCACTTCAGGGCCACTTATCGCAGCTTTTAGCTATCCCAGGAAAGACAAATTTTAAAAATAAATTTAAACACATCTGGAAATAGACCTACGCCAAGAAGCGCCCTTTAGTCGCGAGTAGCTGCGCTAAGTTCACTCTCTCATGCAGAGGTAGCTTCTAGCCAGGCCAGATTAGCCACTGCCTTCTTTCGGCCCTCAGCGTGGGCCATGGACGTTATGTAGCGTAATGCGGGCTTAGAGGATGCGCAGCCGCTTCCGTGCACCTCGCTACTTTACGGTTAGTTCCTCTGCTAAGGCTTCCTCAGGTACAGGCACGAGCAAGTCTTGGCTGCGCTAGGCGACCACTGTAGCATTCGCAGCGAACACAGTAGGCTGTTCTAGCTCCTGTACACTGGCTACAAGTTTCTAAATCCGGCGGCCTATAGCGAATGGTCTGCGTAACAGCACGCCCGCACGCTTTTCTAGATCTAGGTAATGCAACTTGCACAGATACGTGGCAGTCACTACGAAGTAGCCTCTTAAACACATAGCGCTTATGATATTTAGGACAAATTCCGTCAGGCATTGGCCAGCTACCTAGCACTCCCTTAAGATATATTATTAATCTTATAATGATTATGAAAAGGATTTCTTTAGAAAAGCTTGTAAATGAAGGGAGAGGCTAGAGAAGCGCTTAACAGCGCAATGTTCGCGAAGCCGCCTTTAACTAAGAACCCCGCGTCTAGCTAACCGTCTTACAGATGCACTTTAGAAACCACATACATCATAAAAGCGAAAAAAGAACTAAGCATCGCCATCTAGAATCCAAACGTTTAGGCAAGCAGAGAAAACTTAGAAAATCTGCTTTCTAAGCTCATCTGACCTAGCTAGACGGTGAAAGCAAAGGAAGTGACCGAGAGAAAGAGAAAGAACGAAGACATAATATCGACCAGCAGGAACGCAGCAACCGGGTAACAAAGATCGTGGTCTGTCTCGACGCAGAACACGTACGTACCAGCTTTCACAGAATAGATAGCTACATCGGCCACTTCAGATACGGGCTGTTTTAAAAGTTAGTGAGACCGCAGGCCGAAGGACGGGCTTGCAGGGAAGTCACACCTTCCACTAAAAGAACCCAGTGTAGCGATAAATAAAAACCATAACAACGCTTAAACACAAGACGGCAAATGAACAGAGCTGTCTCCCGTAATAGATGTACGTGGACATTCCATGGATTTCCATGGTACTGTGTATGATGATCGTATAGAGGAACATACCACAGCGTTGGACCCGCGCTACTGCCAGTAGATTCTTATACGTAATTTTCTAGATGCACTATCACGGTGGTATTAGACCGTGTGCGGCGGATAAGTGCTCCGTATTCGCGCATATAATGCGACGCTCTTCCCGTGAGGTTGAATGACTACAGAGATAGACAGATATGACTGAAAGTATGTAGGCCGCGTCGTTCTTTCACGAGCATAAGGCTCTCGATCTTTCTGACACAGTAACGCAGTATACCAAGTCGTCCCCTCTAGCGAGAGCGACATGAACTCTGAC